AAAGAAGACGTTTGAGGACATTTTTCACAATTTCCTTGACCCGACAGCTCATCAAGTAATCGAGAAAATAATTGACAGATTAATCAATAATGAAAATAATGGTTAGTTGCAGCCCATGAAAGGTCAGGAGAATTCATCCTGAGGGGGACGTGGATGCTTGTAGAAACATTCATGACAATCCATCCAATAGCTGTTGAGATATTTGAGTTTAGACCGACCGACACTGAAATCCACAGAGCACGGTGTAAAATAACAATCTACATACAGCAAGAGAACATTAAACTTTAAACTTATATATGTTGTGTACTGCTAGTTTCAGCTCTTCATTGAAGCTCTGTTTACAGAGTCAGAGGTTCCCTGTGGAGGGTTTGGCCCCCAGCCAACGCTCTGCAGCTTTTTGGTGAGTGCGTCCCCGTTTCGTTTGTATCTCCTGCACGTGCGCGACCATGCGGGTGATTTGAAGAAGACGGCAAGCTGGTAAACATGTCTGTTTTAAATGTTGAAAAGGATCAAATAAATCCTCCAATGTTCATGAACGCACCACATTTGTCAGACCTAAACACACTGAACGTAAAGAAAACGACTCTTTAATTATTTAAACCAAAGACTGCGTGTTTTCATTTATTTAGCTGCACCATTTCATCAAATGGAAGAATTCTAGATGTTTTGTGCATCATTTCAGCCACAGTTCATTCTCACAGATTTGCTACATAAATTGGGTTTGCATTGTGTTTGGCTGCACAAAATAAGGCTGTTAAAAAAGGAAGCTTGTATAAGATTAAAAGATTTTATTAGAGTTGTAATAAACAGAACTTTTAATGCTGCCCTTTAAAGTAGAATTTGTAGGTAAAGGTTTATCTAAGGACAGACAGCCAGCAGGTCGACTCTGCTGCTTTTTACTGTCGTATATTTTCTTTCAGCCTTATCATAAAAGGTGAAGTGACACATTTTCTATTTTCATCAATAGTATTTCTTAAGCGGGGAGCCGGTTCAGTCGTCACAGATACAGCAGCAGCTACTGTCACTATAACTGACAGGTGCTAACAAGCTGTTTGCAGAATCTGCCGACTGGAGAAACCTTCCTCCACGGGCTGACAAATACACCTGCTGAAGGAAAAACTATAACACGGGGAAGATCCAACGTCGAGTAGTTTCTCTGCTGATGAATCTCCACACTATCTTTTTATTGTTGTGATGGGAGTAAGCGAATATTGAGAGATCGTAAGAAACCTGTTCAATCACATCTGGGAGGATCACGTTAGAAATGACCTGACTGAATAGCTCTCAAAACCTTTTTGTTCAGAATTTTCAGAGTAAGAGAGAAAAAATTATCCTTTTTGCCGGACACGAATGTTGATTGGACCAACGTGCCAAACTCTGCATTACTTGCAAAGTATTTCTAATTACAGTATCTGTGCATGGAAACTATAGCACGGTCAATGCTAGAAAATAATCACAGGGATGGAAAATAAACTAAGGTTAAAGTTGGGCGACTAAAATTAGGCCATAGAAAAGAGTCTCCCACCTCAACAAAACATTCTCACTCCCGACTCGTCTCACATGGACGCTTGGTCAAGGCCCTTTGGCTTTTTAACTCCCTGGGTCCCCCTTTAGTCTAATTTTTAGTACTTTAGGGCTTCGCAGTCAAGTTAGCAACGCTTAGCAACAGCAAATATGCAACGTCAGGTTAAATTTTCAAAATAAAACGCTAGCGTTTCGAAACATCGCCATTTTGAAACAGCACGTTATTAAAGCTGTGAAAGTTGCAGTTTGATTTAGGCACAAAAACTACTTGGTTAAGGTTAGGAAGAGATCCTGGTTTGGTTTTAAATAACTACGTACGTAAGTTAACTAACGTCACTTGCATAACTGACGCAATTTATGTAACTTGCTTTAATATTTTTGTTTCACACGGGACACGAACCCCGGTCTCCTTGTTCAAAGTCCTGGTTCTGGCCCTCCATCCACCCCAACCACCTCCTGACTTTTAAACCTCGTATACCTGCCTTTACCCTCATAAACTGACGCTACAGGGCTTCCCTCCCCCCCCCCCCACTGCGCTGAACTATGACAGGGATCCCCGGTGCGTTACAAACTGACACCGATGGGTCTTGACTATGCGTCCGTCGGGGAGAGAGAACTGGTTGACCTCAAAGTGAGAAGCCCGTCCACCACCCTGACCGCCACGCCTTACTTTTCTTGTGCAGCAGTATTTAAGTTTACCCTTCTACCGTCCTCTTGTGGTTGTGTGAATTGTGACTGTTCTTCACCCTTTCGCCTTCGTCGTACCCGGAGTCAGAGTCCTGGTCGGAGTCCGGTGTCAAACTGGCCTCCGTCGGTCTTGGTGGCCGTGTTCAGCCCCGGCC